AATTTTTTCCCAGAGTTCGGAGCAATATAAATGTGGGCCAGTATGTACATAGTAGACTTTTGAGGTTGGTATAATATTTTGTCATTTAATGTCTACTTAAGGATTCTCAATTAGCCCTTGTTTGAACTACATAATTGAAAATAAAATGTATTTTTAAATAATATATTGATGAAAAATATATGGTTAAAAAATAAGAAAATATTTTGAATTTACTTGTAATATTATTTTATTAAAAAATATGTAATTGAAATAAAGTCAAATCACTGTTAAAAATGTAATTTTTTTCTAATAATGTGGCTCAAACAAGGCCTAACAACAATTATACATTTTTTGTTGTTAAAAATATTTTAAAATTCATTTGTTTTTATTACCAGAGCCTTTTCAAGATCAATTGTGCTATGTGTACAGCCCCGGTTGACAATTAGACACATGGAGGGGAGTTCATGCTGAATAAAAAAATCGTGGGTCCCCCCTCCTGTGAGTGCATTGTCAATCGGGATTGTCAACCTCGATTGTACAAGAAGAATAATTCTTTCAAAATTGTTGTTACTAAAAAGTAGTTGATTGTTTCATTGTAAATCCAAATAGTAATGTTAACGTTGAATTGACTATATTTCAAAATAATTCTAAAAAATAAAATTAATGAAAAATAAAATAAAATAATAAGATAAAATATTATTAATACATTTCGTCTTATTCAGCTCCTGTTTGGGCTCCATTTTAATTTTAGGCCATGTTTGAGACACATTTTTAAAAAAAAAATACATTCTTAAACAGTGATTTAACATTATTTTTAACCACACATTCTTTAATAAAATAATATTACACGCAAATTCAAAAATTTTCTTTATTTTTTAATCACACATTTTTCATTAATACACCATTCAAAAATGCATTCTTAGAAATATACCGTGGCTCAAACATGAGTATTATACATCTTTTTTTTTCTTCTTTTTAAATAAATATTTTTTAATAAAATAATATTACACATGAAATCAATTTTTTTTTAAATCATACATACCTCAGAAATTAATATTCCAAAACCTCGGCAACTTGTTACTAACACGCTTTCCCTTTCATATTTTGCTTCCTTCTGTTATTTCTTTTCTAATTTGTTTAAATTCCTGTACCAGCGCACCACCCTCTGGCTCAGCCAAGCCCGCCAAAAAATGGATTGGGCTAGCCTGTCTATATGCTAAAGAAGTCCAATTGTAGAATTTTATCTCTCTCGTGAGTCTTGCAAGAATGTAAAATAATTTTTTAATGAAAATGTTATTCAAATATTTTAGTAAAGCTCATGTTTGGTTTCCATTAAAATGAGATTTTAGAGTAAAATGTATTTTAAAATAGCGATTTTTGGAGAATATGTGTTTAAAAAATAAAGAAACTTTTGAGTTTAAGCGTAACATTATTTTATGGAAGAATATATAATTGAAAATGAGTTTTGAAAAAAAATATATTTTAAGAAAAATAAAGCCCATACAGGGGTAAAATAATACTCAAAATCTGCAGTAGAAATAGAAATATGGAATGGAGCTAGTCCTAGGAACAGTAAGTCCTCGTTTGGTTCATTTTTTAAAATTCATTTTTGACTATTTATTTTATGGGATCCACAAATTTTGTATGCTTTCTTACAACATATTTTATCATAATTTAATAAAAATATGATTTTCAGTAAAATCAAATGGGGGCTAAAATGCACAAGAACTACATTTTTGCGTATGAATGACATAAGGAAGAAAACATATAAACAGCAGCAGCAACATGCAAACCACTAGAAAATGGTTTAAGAATCTCCAAAATACTCCATTAAACTTAATACCTCTTGTGTGCAGGGGTGGACCCATAGTGGGTCCTGGTGGGTCACATGACCCACCAACTTCCAAGATTTTTTTTTTCTTCATATGTTAGCCTTCAGCTTGCGACAAAACCCAGAAGAAGACTAAAAATTGAAAAATCAAAACCCAGAAGAAGAATCCAAATTGAAAAAACAAAACCCATCCCTGATCCCTAGTTCCTTTCCCTTGGAAAATCAAAACCCACTATTCAATTTCCGCTTGCTTTTTCTTCTTCTTCTTTCTAATGTTGATGAACGCTCTTCCACCGATATAGCATACTATAAATATGTTTGGTTGTGTGTATTATGTATGTATTGTGGATAAAGAAAGTGAGAGACACACAGAGCGGAAACTAGGAAGAGAGGGTGAAGATGAAACTAGGGCTGGACAAATCTCCCGAACCGAACTGAATCGAACTCGACGGTTTTTTTCAAATTAAATACCCGAACAGGTATCTGAATTGAGAACCGACGGGTATGGTTCGATTCTCGATTTTAGACCAAGAACTGAAAAACCAAATAAGAACTGAATCTTTCTATTTTTATTTTTTTTATATTGAGTAAATCAAATTATTTTAATTTTAATTATTTTAAACAAATTAACAATTTCTAAATCCAAATTTTGGCCCAATAATTTGTTTTATTTCTAATTTTTTTATTTTTGGCCCCCATTACCCATTTTATTATTTCATTTCTTAGTCCAACAAGATTCAATCTACTAAATAACTCTAGACACCTACACTAAAGTGCATAACGTTGTCTAGACTCTCGCACTCACTTTCGCAGCCTCGCTGACATTTCAAAACCTATACAATCGTCGGCCAATATTGTGACCTCCATTGACCGAAACTTTGATCGTAGCGATCATTTGAATAAGATAGTCTACTAATCTATGGCATTCCAAAACCATTGAATGTATCATTAATTGCGTTTATATAATGTTGTTACAAATGTTAAACAATTTAATTATAGTACAGAACGGAATTGAACCCGAACAATTTCATAATTATATTTGGACCCAACGGTTGAGAACCGAACCGAACCGAATCGAATCGCGTCCACCCCTAGATGAAACAGAGAGAGAGAGAGAGAGAGAGCGAGAGAGAGTGGTGAGTCATGAGTGGAGAAACTAGAAAATCATGCCACCGTGTGTGTTTTATTGGCATGATAGCCTTTGGGTGAATAAAATAATAAAATATTGGATAGTGGTCTTTATGGATCAAAGTTGTATTACTTCATTTCGTTTTATAAAATTTTATTTTTCATGTCTAAATTCAATAGTGATGATTTAGAGTAGTCAGATGGAGATATTTTGGATATTCATATATATCGGTAATATCTTTTTTCAACTTTTTTATTTTTATTTTTCAAGCATCCTATTGCATATCGAATGCTTTTTATTTTTGTTTTTTTTACAACATTTTTGCAATTTTGATTGTGTCAGGGGCGGATTCAGGATCGGACTACAAGCCGGACTAATACATAATAAACCGGGCTAACACGCAAGAAAAAAATTTTGCCCTAAAAACTATTAAGTGGTCGCCCAACCTAAGCCCCTATATTCGTCTATGGATTGTGTCCCACTAATTTAAAATTTTTGCGTCCACCACTGCTCGTGCGTTAGAGTAAATGTCACCTAGGAAACAGAAAGTGACTAAGGAAATATTTCTAATCAAAAATGGAAAAAGACGCGAAAAATAAATGCACAAAACATTTATCATGAATGGTTATGCTATGTGGATTTAGTGAAATTATATAATAGTTTATATATATATGAGATGTCAAAGAGGGTGTGAACAATCTTTTTTTTTTTTTTTATTGGGTCAAAGATATTTTGACCTAATCACATCTCATCATATCATGTGTATGTAAAACTATTATTTAAATTATTATGTACAAACAACATTATTCTTATCCTGAATTGTGATATCTTGATTTATGTACCATAATGCAAGAAGGGTTATGCTACATGAACTGCGGGTGTGACCGCGAGGATGATCGCATGCACGCACACGTATGGGGGTGGGAATTTTTTAATTCACTCAGAACCCACTCATCCCATGTGAGGGCGCGATCATTCCTGTAATCATCTATACGAGTCAAGTGGCTTAACTCATGCAAGAAAAAAAATTGAAAGGGTCCAATCAGTTTTAAAAAAATATTAATCTTCTGAATTTGAGCAGCTAGATACGAGATATTACATTCACTTTTGATGTTTAAAAAAGAACATAATTTGACAATTATGAGTCTGTGAGACTATGACTAAGAAAGCCCAAAAAAAAAATAGAGGAAGAAATCTTGTTTTATAAATTTAGAAGTGGACATATAAGATGAAAAAAAATAAATAAATTTGAGAGGGTAGTTTCAAATACCATTTTAATTTTTAACACTTTTAATGAAGCTCTTGTTTTAGTCTCATTTCTTCTAAAAAATTATTTTCAATCGCACATTTTTTAATAAAATAATATTAGATGCAAATTCAAAACTTTTTATTAATTTTTAATCACACATTTTCCATTAAGTACTATTTAAAAATGTATTATTTTCCTAAAAAATGGGGATCAAACAAGGGTAAAATCGACAAAAATCCATTGTTATTAGTTCTTCAAAAGTACTTGAAGAATTTACATGTCTTTAAAAAAAAAAAAAAAAAAAAAAATTCTACCGATTGCTAAGAAGGATCATCTGAGTGAATAAATGAAAAAAGTTGAGTTAATTGTTCTAATGGTAACTGAACTTTGGTTCATGTTTTTGATTGGTCACTGATACTTAGGTCAATGTCTTAGATTGCTCACTGAACTTAGGTCCATATATTAGATTACTCACTGAAATTTAAAACGTCGAGTTTTGGTCACTGAACTTTGGAATATGCCTTATGTTATTCACTAGCATAACTGTTGAATTTTGAAAAATATCGAGTTTACAGTAAGTAATGTATAGCATTTTTCAAAATTCAGTGGCCAAAATTCAATATTTTAAACTTTAGTCAGCAATCGAAGATATGGACCTAAATTCAGTGACCAAAACTCAACATCTTAAACTTTAGTGTCCAATGAAAGATATAGATCTAAGTTTAATGACCATTGGAACAATTAGCTCAAAAAAGTTAGAGACGGAAGAAGGGTAAAAAGCAAATACGGATGAAATTGCTAGAAAATAGAAAGATCGAAGATCCTGAGTGAAATTTACCCATAGTTCTAAATACGAAATTTGTTCTATTTTTAATTATTTCCTTCTCATTTATTCGTCGGCAGCCATTAGGTTTGAAAAGATTCCGAATTTTCAGTTGGCTTTCAGAAATTTTCTGAATAGCTAGTAATTAATTGGATTCTATTCTCCTCGAAAACCCCCCAGATACAGTATCTACAAACTAAAGCAAATTCTCTTCGAACAAATCTCAATTCCCTGTGTGCAGTGTTGGTCATTTTAGAATGATTTGAGAAGTAGAGCGGTGAGAAATGTCATCGGGCGGCGACTGTAGCGACGGCGACGTGTTATTGCGATTAAATATGTCGGCGCCGGATGGCGATTTGGAAGCCGGGGTTGCCCAACCCACACCAAAAAATGCCAATACTAGTAACAATAAAGGGGCCGTCGCATCGGATCTTTTAAAGCGGTTGGATCTCGGGTTATCGGGTTCGGGTCGTCGTTTGAGCGTAAAGCTCCGTTCCGACCGGGATCACCACCGCTTCTCTTCTTCCCCTTCCTCTCCTTTTCATTCGGATCATGGTGTTAGTAGTAATGCCGGCGGTGGCAGCAATGATTTTCTCGGGGACAGCGCGCCGCCAGAGTGGGCATTGCTTCTCTTGGGGTGTCTTCTCGGCGTTGCTACCGGTCTTTGTGTTGCAGGTTTTAACCGTGGGGTTAGTTGATGAGTTGAAATTTGTCCTTTTTTGCTAAACTCTAATTGGTTGATGCAAAGTTGTTGTTGTTGTCTTTTTTTTTTTTTTGCTACCGGTCTTTGTGTTGCAGGTTTTAACCGTGGGGTTAGTTGATGAGTTGAAATTTGTCCTTTTTTGCTAAACTCTAATTGGTTCATGCAAAGTTTTTTTTTTTTTTTTTTTTTTTTTTTTTTTTAATTGGATCTCACCATTGAGAAGTTTTGCTATGGGCTTAGTTCATATTCTTCTTGTTGGTCTTAAAAATTTAAGTTTCTGCATAACCAAGATTTGAGGATGAAACTTTTGTAGCATGTAGAAACGAGGTCAAAACCTTTGTAGTTTAGGAAAAGGGAGATAAGTTAGGAGATAAGTTAACAGGAAAAGGGAGGGAGGAGTTTGAAGTTCATTGAGTTGTTGCCACGTTAGTCATCCTTTTTTGAGTTTGTGTATCGTTAATGCTGCTGAATGGATCATATTCATATGGTAAGATGAGCTGCCGTTCTATTAAATTAGCATGTCAAGTCCGTAATCTGTATCACAGTACCAATTAGAAATTTGAATAGAATGTATTAGATATTCCAATTTAAGTAATTTAAATGGGAGATGGTATGAAACATTAATGTCATGGAAAGTTTACTGTTCATTGCAGGCAAACAATATAATATGGAGAAATTTGGATGAACCTTGAAAACATAACAAGAAATAAGAGGATGTTGCGCTAGACATGTCTGTAAGGAACTTTATTTAAACGTGCTAATAATCTCTACTTAATGCTGCGAAAAGCTACTGGGAAATTTTGCCTGCAAAATCGATGCCTAACACATGAATATTTATTAGGATGTCCAGTGGTCCGATTTTACCGATTTTTGACAGATTTTCAAACCAAACTGTTTAAACCGGTTTGAGAAAAATCCAAACCCAAACCAAATCATTTTAAACAGTTTGAAAAAACTCAAACCTAAACCTAACGATTTGGTCCGGTTTTAAACGTCCGGTTTCGTCATATAATTTTTTTCCAACTACTTTTATGTCATTAATTCATTGAATTCAATATATATTTATATTTTACTAGCAATAAATTTAAAATAAACTAAGCTCCTGTTTGAACCAAATTTTTGGGACAAAAAATGAAAATTTGGACCGTTATCCCACAAATCCAGTCATCTTTGTTGACCTGTTGTTTCATGTGTGGAACCAATCTCCTCTCCAACGGTCAATTTTCTCATTATGATGATATGAAAAATATGGCTCAAACAAGGACTAAATATATCTACTATAAATTTAAATACAAACTAAATCAAAGTGAAATCACAATAAACTAAAATATAGTTTTAATTTCCATTTTTGTTCACCTTTTTTAGGCTAATGACGTTACAATAGAAATCTACTAAACTAGATATAAGGCCTAAAAAACATAGTGATGGCCAACAAGACCTCGTGATCATCCTATCTGAAAAAAAGGATACTAATTAGATAAAGAGAATAACTAACCACAATAATAAAACAATTGTTCATAGTATCTAAACATAACAATTATACAAGTTTACGTTTGTATGATGTTACGAAACGTATTTAATTTCAGATTCTTACTTTAGTTTACTCAAAAATAATTATTGATCTGAAACTTTATTCGTAGCAAATATTATCACCGAAGGTTTAGGATCTCTTTGTCTCCGATTTGGTATACTGGACTTCAATTCAATTTTGAAGATGCGTGAAAAATCTGAAAAAGAAGTGTGTGGTGTCGGTGTTTTAAGACTGTGTAGGGTGTCGATTAAAGTTCATCTAAATTCTGAAAAGGAAAATGGTTTTTGATAGATTATGTTAGTCTTGAGATTATTAGATATAAATTAGGATTATTGGATAATAATAATATATCTGTATTAGAAAATTAGAAATTGACAAAAATACCCACAAATGAAAAAACTATTGAATTTTACATATTTGGATGGATTTTCAAAAAATTTTATTTTTTAATTTTTATATATTTTTTCGCCGGTCCGATTTGGTTTTAAACTGCAATTAAAATTCTCAAACCTAAACCAAATCATTTTGACCGGTTTGGTTTGGGTCAAAACTATTTCGTTAACCGAGTCCACGTGGCACCAAACCGACGGTTTCTAAAATGCGGTTTCGGTTCGATTTCCGGTTTGGCAGTTTTTGCTTAAAGCCCTATTAGGATGCACTACCTAAATGTTTCAGTCTGAATCTAACCTGTAAATGATTAAGATAGAAGCACGATGGGAGAAAGCAAGAAAGATATATGATTTCATATGTAAATTTTGAAATTTTTGAATGCATTTTTGGCTACTTGATGAAGTACCTTAAACTTTTATTTTTTACAATTTCTTTAAGTGTTTAAATGCCCATTCTGAAGAGTTGCAACTTTTTATTTTTAATTAGAAAGTCACCTATAATTACCTCTATCCTTTCCCTGGTTATAAGTGCGTCGGTATCTGAAGTTCTCAAGATTAGCCCATGAAGTGTCTGTTTTCATTGTCCTCTGTATTTCTTTAGGGCACTGTGAAACATTTCATCTCTTACATTATTATGATAAGAAATATTAGATGACATCCATGGGTGTTTCATGTAGGTGCATGTAATACATGAATGGGCATGGGCTGGTACACCAAATGAAGGTGCTGCCTGGCTTCGTTTACAGAGGTTAACTGATACCTGGCATCGGATACTTTTGATACCAGTCTTGGGCGGAGTTGTTGTTGGCGTTTTACATGGCCTACTTGAAATATTGTATCAAATAAAGCAGTCTACTTCCTCGCAAGGAGAGGGCTTTGACGTACTTGCTGGAATCTTCCCCACAGTAAAAGCTATCCAGGCTGCTGTAACTTTGGGTACTGGTTGTTCTTTGGGTCCCGAAGGTCCTAGCGTTGATATTGGGAAATCTTGTGCCCATGGGTTCTCTGTGATGATGGAGAACAATAGGGAAAGGAGAATTGCTCTTGTTGCTGCTGGTGCAGCTGCTGGAATCTCTTCAGGTATCACGTGTTGCTTTAGATTGTTAGCACCACTAGACAGTGTTCTGTTCATGTGGGATCATGTTTTATGAACCATCAAGAATCAATCTATTTTTTCTTCTTCCTTTGTTATTGTTATTTTCACACACACACACACACACACACACACACACACATATATATATATATTCTTCATTTGCATTATTCTTCTGGTATCATCAGTCAATTGACAAGCAATCAACAAGTAATTATCTGTGGGCATTGACTAAAATGTAATCCTTTATACTACCTCCTGGGCGAATGGCCTTACCATCTTTATTTTTTACTTGAATTCCAGGTTTTAACGCAGCAGTTGCTGGTTGTTTCTTTGCTATCGAAACTGTTCTTAGACCTCTCCGTGCTGAAAACTCTCCTCCATTTACAACAGCGATGATAATTTTGGCTTCTGTAGTTTCATCTACTGTATCAAATGCGGTGCTTGGTGAGAAACAGGCGTTCACTATACCGACGTATGATTTGAAATCTGCTGCTGGTATTTGATCTAATTCTTGTTTGGTTTACGGAAATGAAAATATATATGCGGCTGCCTATCTCTTCTCTTCTGAATCAAAGTTCTATTTTGATGTCCATGAATATCGTTTATGTGAGTGAGGGTTCTTTTTACCCTGCTAACCTGACCTTATCTTCTGCTGTTTGTGAGTAGGATAGCAGATTAACAAATTGCTGCAAATTGTGTTTTAATGCAATTTTTCTAGGCCAGGAAAGAATTTGGTTCCCACTTTATTGTATCAGTAATTATTATTTATCAGATCATGAAGAACAACAGGCGTGTATAAACCTATAGTAGTTAATATGTTCACACTGTCAAGCATGATTGACTAGATGTTCTGCTTTAAGTCTCACTAATTAGTTCTACATTGCTACTCTATGGTCAGTCAATTGATTGTCCGTAAGTGATGTTTTCTGATTCTACATGGTGGACAATGAATCATGATGTTCTTATAATCTACGTGAATTGCACCTGCATGGTTTTATGTCTGAACTTATGAAGAGAAGTTAATGTACTTTAACCATTTTAGGTCATTTAATAAATATCTGACCATTGGATTTGAACTATTTGTTGTTCAGAACTACCTTTGTACCTAATATTGGGGATGCTATGTGGAGTTGTGAGTGTGGCTTTTACCCGCCTGGTAGCTTGGTTCACTAATGCATTTCAGTTCATCAAGGAAAAGTTTGGGCTTCCGGATGTTGTTTGCCCTGCATTGGGGGGTTTAGGAGCTGGACTAATAGCTCTTAAGTATCCTGGAATCCTATATTGGGGTTTCACTAATGTTGATGAAATTTTGCATACTGGAAAGACTGCATCAGCACCTGGAATATGGCTTCTAGCTCAATTATCTGCTGCAAAAGTTGTGGCTACTGCTCTTTGCAAGGGGTCTGGCCTTGTTGGTGGTTTGTATGCTCCAAGTTTGATGATTGGTGCTGCTGTGGGAGCTGTATTTGGTGGTTGTGCTGGAGAAATGATCAATTCAGCCATTCCAGGAAATACTGCTGTTGCCCAGCCACAGGCGTATGCACTGGTAAGGACTCCTATATAAGCTCTTCTTCTTCGTTTATTTTTTCACCTTTCTGCCTTTGTCTTTCCTCCCATCAATTTGATTGCTGACATCACCATTCTGTAACTATTGAATCACATTGCAGGTTGGGATGGCTGCGACATTGGCTTCCGTTTGTTCAGTACCTTTAACATCAGTTCTTCTTCTCTTTGAGTTAACTAGAGACTATAGAATTTTACTTCCTCTCATGGTATGCATCATTCTGAATTTTCATTGTTTTTGTGCTAAAAAAACTGCCTGGTTCTAACCTACTGACGTCCAATTTATTTGATTATATAGTTTTTTTTCCCCTGAACTCAGTAGACCACCTAGGCATTCGCATAAATATTTGTCATCTGCAGGTTTTTTTTTTGGGGGGAATAGAGCTTGTTTGGCTGAACTTTAATGCTAGAAAAGAAGCTGAAAAGTTGCTTCTTGTTAGCTTTTCTTGATGGCAAGACATTTCATAATCCTGTTGTATTCGAGTAGCCACTTTTTTGCTTCTTTTCTAGCATTTAAGCTCAGGTAGATATGCTCATAATCCTGTCTGTATTCAATAGCTTCCCATTATGAAAGGACATTTCTAAAGTAGGAGCGTGAGTTTTGACCTGTTTTTAGTCAGAACACAACCAAAATCCAGGCGGAATTTTTGGGGTTTTTTTTATTGGGTTTGAAGGGAGTTTGGAACTACCCCTACCATGTCTATATATACGAAATCATAGTACATATGGGAGGGGGACACACACTGTACCTCCAAAAGCTCAAGTCGAGTAGCAAGAGAAGGGATTCTGTAAAAGCTTTAATTATGGAAGTACTAATTCGATTACATATGATAAGACCACAGAAAGGTCATCTGCCACATAACAAGACACACCTATCGTATCTTCTGCTTACTTTTTGTATCTGATGTACGAAATTTGCAATTTATTCATTCGACTCAATCCTCTGAGTCAGCCATCTATATCATTGGGCTGAAAAATCACTCTAGGAGCCTGTATAGCTTCATTTGTCAAGTGATCAGCTACATAATTGCCCTCTTTGAAGACGCGTGACACCCTTATTTAGCATAGACCTAGTAGGACTTCTGTTTCCTCCACAAGATATTAAGCTCTTGTTTGGTGGGGATTAAAATCAGATTTTTAGTAGATTTTGATAAATGTTGATGAAATGTGTGGATCTTATGAAATATGTGGTTAAAATTAATTGTTGACTTTGATTAGATTAAAATCTAAATTTTAAGCCGAACCAAACAAGGGCTAAATATTCCACGGCCCTTGAATGTTCGCGGTTTATGAATTTTAATGCCATAATTGAATTGGTTTCCATCCAAAGAGTATGGATTTCATAATTGTTACATAAAAGAAGTCCAGATTTCATTTCCCTTCTACTCCATGTAGGTTCCACGCATATGCTTTAAAGAATGCTGTCATTACAGCGTCTCTATGATCCGGTAAAATACTTCTGCCCAAGGATTGGACAGGAACCCCTTGCAAGCTTCTTCCAAATTGATTTTGTATTCACCCTCCCTCAGTTTTTGCGAAAGAACCAAGCAAGGTTTTTTCTTCCTTCTGCATGGCAGGCGTGTATCGAGCCATGAAGCCACATCCTTACTGCCCTTCCAAGTGCTGTATGACTACAAACCATCAGCCTGCAGCTTTTGCAGAAATTTTCAGTTTTCCAATAACCCGAGCACCATTGCTTTGGAACCTTTATACTTTGCATCATTCCTTTCAAGCCTCAAGAACCAACGTGCGAAGATAGCTATGGAAGTTATAATATGTCCACGTGCTGCCTTTTGCATTCTGGAACCATGCTTGGAAGGCTGACTGAGCCGAACCCCCCCCCAGTGTACCATGAAAATCAAAAAAACTTGCCATAGTGTTCACAAATCTGTTGAGGAAATGTGCTTGTGATAAATTTATGTTCTACAGACTCCTCTTGCTTATAACAACAGCACTTAGATGCTAGGAAAATTTGAAATCATCTCCCAAGGATCAAATTGGTAGGGATCCATCCATTTAGGAGCGTCCACGCAAAGGATTTCTGAGGGAATTGATTTATGCCAAATTTATGTTCTACAGACTCCTCTTGCTTATAACAAAAGCACTTAGATGCTAGGAAAATTTGAAATCATCTCCCAAGGATCAAATTGGTAGGGATCCATCCATTTAGGAGCGTCCACGCAAAGGATTTCTGAGGGAATTGATTTATGCCAAAGACCTTTAAATAAATCACTTTCAGGGCTTTTTACGCTGCATTAATTCCCACGCGAATTTTAACTGGAAGCCCCGTTAGTAGCTCCATGCCAAAAGGGTGTCAATTTCATTCATTAGTGGGACGAAAACTATTTTTGAACCTCTGCACTGGGCAGGTTCTCCTTTGGTTTGCTCACATTCCCCC